TTGATATATAATTGTGTTCAGGCTTTCAATTTTACGTATTTTAGACCTTTGGAAAGTGGGGCACTTGTTTGATTTCTCCTGCGACTTTAATGGTTTATTGATTTATTTAGCTTCTTTCTCTATTGCCTTTTAAGCTTCTCTTCCCCGTGTTTCAAGTGGCAAAATAAATTCCACAAAGAATGTTGCGCAAACCAGAAGATAGAGCTTTATGATTTTTGTAATGTTTTAAAGTTTGTGCATTCGTCTCTCAGAAACTTGCAATGGAAATTTTTAGTAACGTGTGATTACTTCCATAATGTTACTTCATTTGAAAATTCATCATTTCAAACTTATCTAAAACTAAGAAATGCCACCTGCATTTGGAGAATCGGCTTCAGCCGTTCCGATGTTTAGTTTTCCATAATCTCTCTATAAAATACTTAATGCACCATTGTTGAAGAGGGTTTTATGTTTGCTAATGTTTGCTACTATAAATAGGCAAAACTATATATCTCTGTAATTAAAGAACTGATGTGATTGCACGGGCCAGCATAAAAAAAAAATTTATCTACTCTGAAAGTAATGGTATCCACTTTTGAGGAAGCGAAAGCATATGGCCAAATGTTTGACAGTATCACATGGGTATTATGCCTCTATTTATGCAGGTTCTCAACAGACCAAAATTGGAGTATTTGTTGGTTAGGGATCTTTACCTTGACTTCGGAAGCAGGATTCAACAGCTGATGATGCTCCTCCTTCAGTTTGTTAAAACGATCAATTACTGATTTCATGCTGATAAGAAGAGTCATGGCATTATGGTCAGTCGATGCAATGATCGCATTTGCGAAAATTTCTAAAGTTATGAGAGTGCAGATTATAGTTAATGTAATGAAATTAAACAAACACATCCTATCAGTATACATTAAATTTGATAGTAATGATTTCTACTCTATTTCTCAGTTGGATTTGTGTTATAGTAGTGATTGTAATACTGAAACAAATACACGACAGATATGTAGACGGTAAATACTACCGAGTTTTTCGGAAAAGAAAAAAAAAATTGTTGATTTGATCTCTGATTAATTTTGCAACTAAACTACAATTGACGGACAATGTCTTATATAGAAAGGCAGAAAACAAATGCAAGAAAGTGCTATTTATTTCTACTAGCCACCAAAAAAAGTGCAATTGGTTTGCGCCCTCATCCGTTAAGAACAATGGTAAACTTACACATTCTTATTGGACTAAATATGAGACAATCCCTCCCCATTTCAATTTGAATTCAACAATTTCGTGAAGAATTCAGTGCTAATACTTCCTCATGCTTGAAGGATAATATCTATTGGCCCCCTATCCTTTATGCTGATTTTATCCTTTTTGTTTTTACAGGTTTATAAGCTACCTGGCCTCCAATGTGATCTTTCTACGGGTGCATGGTTCCGGCCTGCAATAGCCAAATGCATAAATTTCTTCCCATCCCCTTCTCACCCCCCCCCCCCCCCCCCCCCCCCCCCCCCCCCCCCCCCCCCCCGATGTTTTAGGTTTTCTGAGGCTGAAGATTTTAGAAATCCCTTAAATATTACAAAATTTTTACGAATGTCGGGTTATGGTTGAATAGTACTCAATCAGCACGAACATAATGACACATGTATTGGTATTTATCCTCTAGTTTCAATACCCTACTAACTCTCGTCCGTAGTTTCTTAGCAAATGCTTAAGCCTCAACACGTCTTCCATGGTTTCTTAGCAAATGCTTAAGCCTCAACACGTCTTCCATGGAAAACCAATTGGCAATGTAAGAATTGTACAACTCCTTATAAGCTCATATTATTAAGTCACTTAGCTTTTCAAGATGAGACACAATACTCTCAACACATAAATGGCTTCTTCAAATTCCATTTGATCAGACCGACATTCACAAGAAAGTATTAGAGGTCTATATATAATTAGAGATCAAGAGCTTGGTCAGTCGGCTCACACGGGCTGCATCCATCAAGGTTGGTGGCAATGCCCAACCGCTGGATGGCGAAGACACAATACTCTCAACACATAAATGGCTTCTTCAAATTAACTTTGATCCGACCGACATTCACAAGAGAGCATCAGAGGTCTATATATAATTAGAGATCAAGAGCTTGGTCAGTCGGCTCACACGGGCTGCATCCATCAAGGTTGGTGGCAATGTCCAACCGTCCAACAGCGAAGACACAATACTCTCATAGCATGACAAACTCAACACCTAGCCCAAGGATAACGTTTCTGTCGGCCTATGTAATGACAGAAAACCTGGAAAGAAATACGACGTATAGGTACCAAAATAGATGTATAATTCTTAAGATGAAGTTGCATAGTAATTTTTTTTTTTTAATTTTGTGAAAAAGAAAATGAGCTTTTCCCCAAAGTATGCAGTTGGATTTATGAATGTATGCAACCTTCCTTCTACTCATTTGCAATAACCAAAGCCTACAATACTTTTGACTCCTAAAAAATCCACTTCCCGTTCAACATCTAGTTTCTGCAGAATTAAGACTCTAACCCTTGAGGGAGGAGACGAACAACAAACTAGCTATGGAAATGTTATGTAACAACCCTAGGTCTCTTCCAGAAGTATCAGCTCGGGTTGGCATTTGAATTCTTAGGCCTTTCTAAGTACCCTAGGTCTCTCCAATGCATAGCCCAAGTGGGATTTAGGAGAATCATAATCTCCCTTTCTTCATGCCCTTAATAACTTCACTAAGGGGATTCACACTTATCATACATATACCAATTGGGAGACTTTTTTTTAACCGGAACACAAAGCCAGGCACTCCACATCACACAAAGGGGGGAAAACGCATAAATCCGAGTTTTTACATGCTCTAAAGTGCTAGCCCTAGCCCTAGCCCTAGCTTCATAAAAAATAAAAAATAAATAAATAAGTGCTAGCCCTAGTTAACATTTAGGGTTCTGAGGTCACACTGAATTATTACTTGAGATCTCCGCAAGACATAACTGATGTGGGACTCAGTCCCTCTACTTTAACGTATGATAAAACAGTTTTGCTTATTAAGCCTAGAGGAAAGGTTTTATCGATGTGAGAAGAAAAGCCATTTGCTTTCAAACTTCCAACAATGTATCTAGCGACAAATCCAAATTTCCCAATAGCACATGCGGACACCATGCTCTTTCTTACTAGTTGAGAGCGTCTTCAAAAAATTTCCCTTGATCAGTCACACAAGACAATGGCTTGTATACTATCTGCAACCACCTATGCTGCGAATTGATACATCAGTATCTGGAACTGATGACATAGATGATTGAGTAGCAGCTTGACAGACATAAGCCTAGAAAAAACAAAAATATGACCAAGGTTTAGGCTCCAATCTCCGATTTGAGCTCATAACCTGTCGTTTCAAAGAGAACAGCAAGACTAGTTTAAAAACATTTGAAGTGTTAAGGGTAATTTTGGAATTTACTTATTTTGGTATTTTGTTTCCAATTAGGCTTCCTAGTAATCTAGGGTTTGAAGAAGTATTAAACCAACTTTAGCTATGTGATTATGGTGGTTATTCATATTATATCATTATCAATAAACTTGGAGGTTTCTCTCAACTTTCTGGTGGATTCCAATAGTTCATGCTCTAAGGTCATTGCTTGATTGCCTTACCTTTAATAACGTTGTGTCACGGTGGAGAAATTTTTATATGTTACACGTACACCACCTACCTCGTGTACCATCCAATACATATAGGACATGTGGAATTATTCTCCAATTTACTGCATTGCCTTTTATGACTTGTGGGCGGCTGCATTGGAAATATTTCACATGTCGACTACATCTATTGGATTGTACACTAGCCATGTGGTGTACTCGGAACACCCAAAAATTACTCCCTTGTGTGTTATGTACTTGGTTATACAACTCTTTGAATGGGGCAAGTCTAAATAAGAAGAAAAGAGATGAAGATAGCAAAATCTGATCTCTATAGGTTGATGTGAAGCCAAATGGCGTCACGAGGATAATAAATTAAGGGTTCTCTTCTAGCACATATAAGGGCATGCATATCTGACAATGCTTTTGGAAGGGATAGAAGCACTTTCACATAACCAAAAGCACTTCTGACTCTGTTGGCAACCTAAAAGTACTTCTAGATTATATAAAAAAAATAAAGAACTTTTTAGTACTTTCTGGAAAAGCACTACAAAGTGCTAATCATGTGGTTTTAATAATCGGGAGAAGTGTTCATACTTTCCCAAGCAGACATTGTGGTAGCATCCACATTTTAGTGGGAGTTAAAAATAGATCATCATGATGAGTGAAAGAAGACAGTACTATATAGGCATTTTTAATATCCAATGATAGTTTTCCTACACTTGATTGAGGCATTGAATTTCTTAAGATTCTATTGAGAATTACGCATTCAAACTTCTAGAACAATAGAGTCTCATTGAACATTAAGCAATCATCTTTGGTGAGAGAATAGAATTCAGGATTCTAAACTTGGAGATTACGAATATTTTGAACTGTGTGAATGATCTCCCCACATGGTTGTCGTCGACCAGGTTGTCAAAATGAGGTCACTTATATAGTGGCTTTATCGATGATTGGTGGTTCTTCAATTAATCTTCTTCAATTAATCTTTTGCATCTTTTTTTGTTTTTCTCTTTTGTTCATGTGTGATTGTCTCCATCAAATCACAAGATATATGTTCGTCTAAACAAAAGATCTTGGGGAAATTTTTGTCAACATATAGTTATGATTCATTAGTGGGATAATTAGCACTAATGACCATGCCCCATTGGCCTTTGCCATCCCAATCCTCAAACTTTTATTCAAGTTATTCATTTCTTCACATGACAACTTGTAGCTTCCACTGGTAGAAAGTATTTACCCTAAGATTAAGTCCAAAGTTTGTACCAAGAGAATATATTGTTGAATTATGACTTCTTCCTAAAGCTTGAGTCTACTCACCCTCTTTCTTAATTTAGGCCCTAAGCAATCTTGAATCTGTACGATCTTCATCCTTCTGTTTCGTGAGAACTCCGACTCAACAAACTACAAAGTCCTAACTTATAAATTGATAAACTTTTGATGATCAAGAAAACTTCATTTTAGTTGAATATAATCTGTTAAGGCTAAAGAAAGACAGTAATGGCATCCAACACAGTCATTATACGGACGTCAAAATATGCATGCATGGGCTTGCATGGACACTTTTTTTCCCTAGTAATTCAACACAGGAAAAAGCAACTCTCTCTCTCTCTCTCTCTCAATGTAAAATGTAAAGAGAAGAATACGATCCAAAATTGATGGTGAGGAAAGGACTCGTAGTTAAAAAAGGGATATGCATATGTACACCTAAGGACCCCCTCTTCGTTGGACAATACTAATTAACTACATTTAATTTATTTTTGTTTATAACATAAAATCCATCATTTCCCTGTTATCAGTTCAAAACATCAGCTTCTGCCTATCAAAAAGGGCAGGAAGATTCACACAATTGAAGCTTATATATAGAGCACACTGTGAGAATCATGCATTCATAAATATTTCTATCTGTAATTCCTCCTCACAGATATAACTTACTTTCTAAGTGCGTACGCCTATAGACAAGAATAAACAACCTCATGCATATGTAAACCTGCATAAAATATTCCATTTATCCAACACCTTCGGGTTTACTGAGACTAGAACCGAAAAATTTCTCATGCCAACAATAAAATTCCCTCCAAAAGAAATTAAAAGGAAGCAAGATTGATGTATGTTGTCAAAAATAATCCCATAACAAGTCCACTACTGGCCTCAGATCCCATGCTAGAAATAAAGCATAAATGCAAAAGCTAACTAAACCATAAATTCACCTACTAAACTTGCATTAGTAGCTAGAAAAATTGGGATGATGAGATAGACAAATTAAACCCACAAGGAATAAGCATTAGCTGCAGTTCAATGACAAGTCAATCCAATCCAAAATTAAATATGCAATATTATTTTTGAGAGAGAGAGAGAGAGAGAGATCTAACCTAGTGCTAGCATAATCGTAAAGCCTGCCGGTGCTGGAGAAGATGATCAGTCCAACCTCAGCATCACAAAGGATTGATAGCTCCTTAGCCTTCTTAAGCAACCCATTCCTTCGCTTCGAAAACGTCACTTGCCTACTGGTGGAGTTGTCAATCCTCCGAATCACAATCTTGCCTCTCCCCATCACCTCTTCTTCAAACAATCTCCCCTCTTCAATTTCTCCCCTAGATCGGTAGAGAGATATAGACTTTAAATTACTCACAAAACTTGAACAAAACTTTCCAATTTTTCCCTAAATGGGTATAACCAAATTACCTCACCAAAACAAGCCAGAAATAGCAAAACAATAACTTGAACCAAAAAAGAGATCAAGAAGAAGCATGAAAACCCAAAAGAACAGAGATCATAATTTTCCCAAAAAAGAACTTTTCCTTTTTGATTTTCTTTTTTCCTTCAAATAGCAAGATTTGTATGAGTAGAGCTTACTTGCAAATGAGCTAAAGCCAGTAGAGCCTTCCCTCTCTCCTCTTAATTCCTCAGATGTGCCTACAATGCTTTATATGGAAAGTCACCAATTCTCTATGAGGAAACCATGGACCAGGCACTGCACCCAAAACCACTTGGTGGTTTAAGGCTCAGGACCACATAGCCCACTCGCTAGAGTACGTTAAAACGATGCTACTCGCCTTTTGAGGCCTACACTTTGTCGGGTGAATCAAACTCAGGCCTGTTGACCAGCGTGAGAGGATCGGGGGAATAGTTAAGGTTACGAGAGAGGGACTGGAAGGGCACGTGTAAGCAGGAGAGAGCGGGTGCACGCAAGTGGACGTGAGAGCGTGGGGAAGCTGGCATCCTCGGACTCTCAGGGTAGGCCCGGGATTCGTGGTTTGTAAGAGCGCACAAATGATGGGAGGAGGTGACGTATAGATGAGTGACACGTTTTGGTATTGGAAACCGAGGGCGGTCTCTTCCTTTTTGGGAGGGGTTTGGGTTTCTTAATTCTGATTGGTTTGCCTGTTACTATAGTCTACACCCAGCTGTTCTTGTACCCTATTTCTCATAAAAAATTGGATTGTGTGCAATTTTATAGGGTTGTGACGGGATGTTTTATATCTATTCATTGGCATAATGACTGGTGTTCATACATCGTGACTTTGTGATGATTATCAATCGTCGATGTATGTTATGTTAAAATAAGTAAACGGTTGATAATTATATGGAGTGTGACCGACAGTTTAAAGTAGCTAAATGAAAAAAACGTTCTTTCTTTTCTCTTGAGTAAAGCAAAAGCTAGTGCAAGTTAACTAATTTGGAACATGAAATAGATTTTCTTTATAACTATTTTTAAGTGATGAAAGTTACATCAGCATGTGATTCATTTTGTTTGATTATAACTAAGTCGTATGTTGTGGTTGCCGACGTTGATGTGTTAGATATTATGTGTTCAATTAACTTTGATTTGTCTAGCTTATCAACGATTCAAGAAAGAGTCGTGTATCTATTGATTCGAGTTAATTCAACAATTTATTTAGAAGCTCATTAAGTATGAAGATACAGGCTGTTTCTAGATTAATGAGATTAAATTAAAAATCTAAAGAGATAACGATATAAGTTTAAAAATACCAACAACCGTATGTATACGCGCACATGCGTGGTTTGAATCATTGTCACCGAACATTTTACACAATGAGATTTACATGTATCAACGACTGACAGTTGGCTCCCACTTACTCTTAAGGAACCATAACTTATGTACAATTGAAGCTCCAACTGCACTTCGTATTTGAGTTAATTAGTTACTTAATGCGATACTCACTAGTGAATTTGAACATAAAGGCTGTCAAGATCATTTATCAATTCATTTTTAAAACAAGAATAATTGTAGGGGAAGACAGAACCTAGGAATCTTATCGCAAGTGATCGCACTTTGCCCTATTAAAAAAAAGTGTTCACACTTTGTCTGTACTGTTCAAGCACACTTTTACAAAACTATTTATTCCATGTGAAGTTGATATATGTGCATCTAATAGAGTAAAGACTTTCCCATCCTCAGACGAGGCTTTGTCTATACTTTGAGAATGATTTGTTACAAACCTAGGATTTGACTTCTTCAAAATCAAAGGACACATCTTCTATAATTTTATTATTATTATCTTTAGGGTTTGAGATTTATTATTTTCTTACGTATTATTTCCATATGCATACCCTTAAAATTATAAGAAATCTTTTCATCTTCAACTTTTGCTCTCTCCTTTGCTCTAGCATATGATTGAAGATGAGTTCAACTAGGGTTCTTTTCGTTGTGTATATTTATTTACTTTTCCTCTCCATCTTCATTTTCTCTAGCAGTCCACTTGAACTTGACCCTTCCGGGTTCCAATTACCAAGGATCGAGCACTTGCTTTTGCAACTTTTAACGCTAGGATTTGCATGTGATTCCGTACGATTTGTGAAATTCCATGGAGCTACTTTCAATGTAAAAAAAAAGTTATCCATGGAGCCACACACTTATGTAGTCAGGTGAAGCATGTGAAAAAATCTCGAATGAGTCAAGTAGAGGGATTTTGGGTTGAAGCTTCCTTTAGAGGGTCAGTTAGAACGAATAATTACTTATATTGGGCTTTTGATTTGTGTAACTTTTTGTTCTTCAATCTAACATGTTTACTTATCATGCATGCATATGAGAAGAAAGAAATTGTTTCAATTCATGACTTCCTCACGTTTACTAACACGTAAGGAATTAAAAAACATATAGTCGCATCTTAAAATATGTAATCCAATAGCCTCAAAAAATAAAGCAAGTTTCGTTAGAGTAAGGGCCACCATATTGGTAGTGTGAAGATGAGGGTGAGTTGCACAAAGCAAACGAAGTGGGAATCATAATTGCTCGAATGCGTCTGAAACAAAAATTATTGTGTATAACAGTACAGTACTACGTAGCAGGTTGACCGTCCCACGTGAAGTTAAGATCCAGATAAAATTATAATATTATGTAATAAGTATACAGTTCACACTTTTTAGAGTTTAGAATTCAGATATCAGTAGTTGTACACATATATTACGGTGGCAAAACAATAATTTTTCTATTTCAAAGACCTTGACTAAACAACTTTACTGTTAATTTGCCAGAGCATTTTCTGTGGCCTCAAAATTCTGTAGCTCGGGAACCAAGTTGGATACTGATCAATGTGGGGTGTGAGCAAGTGGCTGGCTATATTATTAATACATTGGCGGAGATCGACAGCACTTGTAATGACCAAGTTCCAATTAAGTTGAGAAGTGCAAGGCAAAGAATACGAGGAAGTTGTAAGGTTCAAGTTTGATTAGAAATTCTGTTTTGGAAAGGTTTCCTAAATAGGTATACTGAGGATTTGGGCACAGAGACTGTCGAGCATACAAAAGGCAGTTGGTTGGACGTTGCAACTGTCACCTATCCACCTCACCAATCCACCAAAACAAGGAAAAAAGGAAAGCAAAACAAAAACAAAAAATAAAGGACAAAAGGTAACGTCGTGAAGGGGAAAACAATATATAAGAATTCAATACCTTAACCTTCACTCACTGATTAATCATCGTACTATTTTATGCACTTCCTTTTGAGTGGAAATAAAATAGACCCCCACTTGTTTATGTTATGGTATTATTTTTGTAATAAACAACATTAATTAATTTGAACAGTTTAAGAAATTAACAAAATTAGGTACAAAAGCTGCAGAGGAGAATTCTTTTTTAGGGTTTCTTTATTATATAAGTGAAAGTGTTTTCATATTGGAGAGGACCTCCAGATGTGAGTGCGAATCATAATCTAAAATATCAATAATATCGATGAAATATTAAGAATATTATCGTTTTTTCGGGTCAATGGTATTTTGGAACGCATCCATACACATATTATATAAATATCGAAGATAATATCGAAAAATATTGATGTCGATAATATCTCCCACACTTCAGCAATATTTAGTTAAAATATTGCTATAATATTGCTATAATATCAATAATATCGATAATATCGAGATGATGAAGACAATGAAAAATTTGAAGAGTTATTTACACCAACACCCCTTTAGGTTTCTTGTGTTTTCACAAAAGTCCCTTAGGTCTAAAAAATTACACAAACACCCCCCAAGGTTTCAGTTTGTTTTCACAATTTTCGTTGATTGTTTGTCCAAAAATTGACTATTTCATTATAAAAAAAAACTTATACAAATGAAAAAAAAAAAATTTAACCTCAATGAAGTATATGCAATCTCAAATGCCAACTTTGTCATTTGGAGAAATTATATATTTTTTTTTGTATAAAATCATTAATTTTTGGATGAAAAATCAATGAAAATGAGTTTTGTTCAAACAATTTAAAATCTCAGGGGGTGTTCTTGTAATTTCTAAAACATCAAGAAGTTTTGTGAAAAAGTCGAAAACCTCAGGAGGTGTTAGTGTAAATAACTTAAATTTGAACATTATAGGAACTCTATATGATACTAAGTCACTCATGTATCTTACCATGCACTGTATAAAGTGTAAATTATTGTAGTAAATCATTATAAATAAATGATCGTGGTGTGTTTAATCTTCTTTCGTTAATTACTATATATTTTTTACACTCGCAGTGTTTGGGAGCTTGCTATATAATCAACTTAAATAAGTTAAACGCATCATACAATGCATTTTCTTCTAATTTTTTGTGATAAAGTAATAGATAATTGACTAAATAAACATCCTCCAAAGTTTGAAGAAATTTTTTCAAGTTTTTCTTACAATTTATGTGATTTTTATTCAATTTTTATCGATATCAATAATATCCCAATATTTCCATTAAAATTTCAGTATTTTTGGACTATCGATATTTTCAAAATCATTGATATTTTAAACCTTGGGTGTGATTAAATAGGGATAACTACATCTTTTAGTTGGAAGCCCCCAAGTTAACTAATTGTACGAATCTTACCTATGATGATGGGTCAAAAAACATTTTTAAAAAGAATTACACAACACTGAGTTGTCATTCCAATGGCAAGGGCTACCTAATTAAATGCAACATTTAATTCAGCAGTTTGTTCGCATATCAGTTTTAACTATCAGAAATCGGCCAAAAACAAAATGTATGTACAGCTGATTGTTAGGACTCAAGATTTCATATTGGACAAATAGCATATCTGAGAATGGTTTAAGAGCTTTTGGGTACATTTTCCTCACACGCCGGTTTTTAGGGGCAAGTTCTATATACCCATTGGGTGCTTAACAAATTGGTATCAAAGCCTAGTTTTACCACGCAATTGGGCTCAATTCCCCAAAAGGGCAACCTATATGGATGGATTAAGATGATCGGTGTTATGTATGGGCATAATATAAGAAAGGAAAGGGCAAGGTGATTGGTGTTATGTATATAAGGAAGGAAAGGGCTACCACAGGTCAGGGTTGATAGAGTAGGCTAACAAGTACGTTGGATACAGAATTGTTGCCTTCCATTCCCTATTTGTAGCATAAGCAACTCACCTTATTTTTTAAATTTTAGAAAATAAGAATCTAACTGTCATGGGTCTAGCCTTCCCCCTTCGCGTTCTCCTTTTTTCA